TTCAAATTTAAGAGAGATTTCTCTAGAAGATCGCTCAGATACATCAGGAATCATCCGGAGGTAGCTTTTAGATTTAGATTTTTAAGAGAGCGTCCATGAGTCCATCAAAAAATCGAAGCACTCATCAAAATTTAGATTTTTGATTTGATATTCTCATCTTGTTCAGCATCATCAAAAACCTCTAAATTCAAATTTTTAGCGCATTTGGTTGAGCTGGTGAAAAGTTAGCTCAATTTTACTGTCAAGTACTCACGAAGTTATTTGAAAAATATGATCAAAAATTATCAATATAAAGTTGAGTTATTTTAAACGACAAAAGATTAACAAAATTTTTAGTGTAATATACCAAAAGATAGCATTGAAAGGTGAACAAAATTACCTATTTACATATTATATTTATATAGACTGATCGATAGTTATTTATGAAATACTGTTCATGACTAGTCATTTTTCGAGTAAAAAGTGGGTAGATTTTTTCCAGTATATTGACTGCCATTCAGTCATTCTTAGGAGTTCCACGCTGAATTTCATATATGTTGTACAGTTTTTTCTCCTCTACAAAATGATTAAAAAAGCTTTAAAAAAAGTTTGGCTTTGATCCGAAAAATGGCTCACAATGTTGACCAAGTAGACAGCATTTATTGAAAAAATTATTGTAAATATTTTTTTTTGATGAAAAAATAGAACTTTTTGTAGATTGTAAACTATCTACAGTGCTTTTCATATAAGTACGACATATTTCAATGAATATATGTTCTGCACAAACCAATTAATCAATGGTTGGTGCCTTGTATGAATATAATGTCAATAATCAAATCTTAAACTGTTCTCTAAGGGACATAAAATACACTGTAATTTCAAAAATGATAACTACATATTTATCTTCTTTTTTTGAAATTAGATTCAACTGTCTGATCATGTGTACAGCCACATATATATGTAACAAAAAGACTTGGAGAGGAAGAGCAAATGTTTCTCGTCTAGCCATGTGTTCGACATTTCGTTTCTTTTCTTTATTCAAAAACTATGCATATGCTTGTTGGAGTGCGGGTTTGCTGAGTGCCACTCCTAAGCAAACAAGGCAAAGGCACGGTTTTTCCGAGTAATGCCTATTCAAAATTATGCATATACTTGTTGGAGTGCGGGTTTTCCGAGTAACACTCACAAACAATATGAGGGCACGGTTTTTCCGAATAATGCCCATTGATAAAGAATAATATTGTTTATATGAGTGCGGGTTTTCCGATTAACACTCATAAACAATATGGGGACACGGGTTTTCCGAGTAATGTTCCTCCTCTTCAAGCAGGATGGGCTCTACGTGCCGAAGAGGAGAAACACGGAAAAGGTTTTCCTTGACCGTGGCCAACAATCCTGCCACTTTTATGACGTAAGTAGGCAATATTTAAATAATACTTGAACTGCTAGTAAAGGTTCGATGGACATTAGCCGACTTGTAAAGTTTTTCCATCTCATTTTTGAATGACGTGATACCTGTCTAAGATTAGCTAATCCATCTTACCTTCATAAAATACAATAAGTGTTAATTCATTAATTTATACAGAGCATCCATTCATTGAAATATGTCATATCTATGCGGAAAATAAACTAGATACTTCATAACCTACTAAAGACTTTGTTTTTCATGAGAAAAACATACTTATAATAAATTTTTCCTTAAAATCGTGTTTAGTTGGTCAACATTGTAAGGCATCTTTCGACACCATTCTAAGGTTTTTTTAAACTTTGTTTTTACCATTTTGTAGAGAAGAAAAAGTTGTACAACATATGTGAAATTCAGCATGGAGACTTTTAAAATGACTAAATGGCAGCTAATATACTAAAAAAATTGACATATTTTTTATTCAAAAACTCGTCAACCTTAGACAGTATTTCAGAAATAACTTTCGATCAGCACATTGAAGTATAATTTGTAAATAGGTAAATTTTGTTCAGCTTTCGATGCTCTATCATTTGGTATATTACACGAAAAATGTCATTAAATTAATGTCATCGAAACAATTTCCACTTTATACGAACGATTTTGGATGATATTTTTCAAATATCATTGTGAGCGCTCGACAGTAAAATTGAGCTAACTTTTCACCAGCTCAACCAAATGCGCTAAAAATTTGAATTTAGAGGTTTTCGATGATGCTAAACAAAATGAGAATATTAAATCAAAAAAAAAATTTTTTGACGAGTGCTTCGATATCTAGCACGATGCTCGATGGGCTCATGGATACTCTCTTAATTCGCTAATATTGTAATTTTGGATGAAGTTTAGTTAGTCTCTTATCCTGGATCTTACATCTGACTAAAATTTGCTTGAAAGATTTCTAGTTGTACATTTGCTATAATATCATAGTACATTTATTCACAACACAAGATCGTCCTGATAATGAGATTGACAAATACTAGGTTTCACAGAGAAATGATACTTCGTACGTTATCAACCAATTATAGCCTTATCAATTGGTCTTCATTAGATTTTACCTTAGAATCATTGAAAGATACCATCTATTTGAATCAAATGTTCAGTGAATATCAACACTTGGTTTCAATTTTTTAGACCCCATGTACCTGGATTCTCAAGTAAATCACTGACTATCAATAGTATTCATATACTAAAGATACAATGATCATGCTCAATGTTATTTCACTCAATCACAATGTAGACGAGGCATGCCAATGTAACTCAGTAGATTTTTGTTTACCACGTTTCGTTGTACATGTCTATTTGTTTGCATCAACCTTTTTTTAGTTATCTATTCAGTCAAAAACATATTCAATTGAATATCAATACCAAAAAACATTATTAATATTGAAGATAACTGTTTATTATTTATCTATATAACCATTGGACTTGTGAATTTCGTTAAACTATAGACGAATAATCATTCTGCATGTAAAGATTAATTAAGACAGATAAATTATCTGTTTTGACTATTAATATTTAATTGACTATGTATCCGTTCAACATTGAGAATGTTTTTTCAAATATGTTAAATATGACATGAATAATAATATTTACCAATCAATTCTAATAAAAAAATCTAATGGATTAGAATTGAATGAACTCGTGCTTTTCATAATCCAGTTTTGAATTCTACATAGGAAAGTTGCAATTTGTATATGTTTTACTTTAACAATTTTGGTTACAGAATCCAAAATCGTTTCTCTTACTGAACTAATAAAAAAGGAGCTATCAATTTTTATCAGTCAAAACATAAGTGATATCAAAACAATTACAGAAATATACACAGAAGATCAATCTGTTATTAGCGGTATCATAGATCCTTTCTTAATTATTCGTTTTTGGTTTACCGTATAATGATAAAAAAAAACCAATGTCAAGAGTCGATTGATTGTTTATTTTTTTGTTTCAATGTAGGATAATAAAAAAGAAAAAAGTTAACAATCAATTGATTACGTAGAAACACGCATAATCACAAAGAACAGAAAAAGTAAATCAATTGATGTTTTTTAGTTCAAACGGATAATCACAAAAAAGAAATAACCAAATGTTATCAATGGATTTAGTGTTTTCACACATAACCAAAGTGAACAATCAATTGTTTATATGTAAACGCGCATAACCAAAAAAGAGAAGAACACGTCAATCGACGAATTGTTTTAGTTTAAACAAACGATCACAAAAAATGAAATAATCAAGTGTTGATGTTTTAGTGAATAATCACAAAAAAAAACTGAACAATCAATTGATTACATGTTTACATACATAACCACAAAAAAAACGTAAATCAGTTGATTGCTTTAATTGAACAGGTAACCATAAAAAAGATAACAAAATGTTAATCAATGGACTTTTTAAACGTATAACGGCAAAAAAAAAATAAACAACTAATTGTGTTTTTCCTTTCTAGCTACAACCACAAAAGAAATAGCAAAATGTTCATCATCATTGATTGGTTTGTTGCAATTAGGGGTGTCAGGGTTCCCGTTCTTTGGAGTTCCGTTCCTAAGGAACGGGAACCCGCTTGATTATTCATTTCTATGCATTTTTGAACGCGCTGAAGTTCATAGACATGCTTTTTCTTCCGTTTTGAGCAAGTCACTCCGAGTTCCCGGGTTCCTGGGAACGAGAACCCGTAACGGGTTCCGGGTTCCTAGGAACGGGAACCCGGTTAAAAATTCATTTCTGTGCATTTTTGAGCACACTAGAGTTCATAGACATACTTTTTCTTCCGTTTTGAGAGAAGTCTCCCCGGGTTCCCAAGAACGAGAACTTGTATCGAGTTCCGGGTTCCTAGGAACGGGAACCCGCACCGGATTCCTAGGAACGGGAACCCGCACCGGATTCCTA